AGAATTTGACTATTTATCGAGTTTTGTGTATAACTGTAATCAAAAACTCTACAAAAATTGACATTTTCATTAGCAATCGTTATTAGAAATCGCTGCGTAACAAAGGAAAGTATACAATATTTGCATTTAATAACTAACTGCATGTACTGATGTTAAATAACATTGTACGTTCTACACATACATAAACATTCAGTAATACTATTAACTATCACACAATAAACTATTATTGTGTTATATGAAACCTAAAAGTCATTTTGGCTTCGATTTTAAATGGGTCTCATCAGTTAACTGATCACACGTTATATATAAGAAAAAGAACATACAATAGAAACGTTAAAAGACTCATACAGTAAACCATAATTCTTTTAATGTGATTATAATAATATTAAACCCAATAAAGTGTAAATTAAATGTTTTATTGGGCGTTGAGTTTTAGCATTTTATAAACTTTTTAAAGATTATTTAAATTAATTTAAAATGCATTTATAATTTAAACGTATAATAATCCGAAAAGGATGCTAATTATAACTATACGTGATTATTTTTACAGTTTAATTACATTGTACCGTTAATTCCTGAGATTTTCTTAGTTGTAAAACGTTAGATTCGAGGAATATTACAGAACTTTCGGTAGTGTTTTTTCATAAATGCTGTAATTACCTATTCGGGTCTAAAAAAATAAGGTGTTGTAGTGAAATTCTTATATTTTATAAAACTTTTTTCCGAAGTTTTATATGATCAACAGCATTTAAAATAATATTATACGCTTTATACTGATGTAACATATGTTGTAAAAGCCGATTTGATTTCATAAATTATAATTATTTGTTAAAAAGAAAAAAGATTAATTTGTGTAACAGCAGTTTATTTTTTTGTTATTATAAGCTCTGACATTTCATTATCACAGTATAATTCACCGTATCAAGAAATAATGCTCAAAAAATTACGAATTATAAAAAATAACAAAAGAACCATTTGTCTTCGGCATTCAATCTGAATTCTTCTATTTATACCTATGTATCTGCTGTAAGTTTTACTTAATGTTTTATGTTTCAGATCTATGACAACTTCATTTCGATTGAAAAATTTTCTTCTGAATATTTGCCAGTTGAATATAAATATAAGGTATGATAATGTTAAAACAATATAACACAATACGAGTTAATTATTAACAACGAACTTTGTATACGCTTTCAGATGATTTGCTTCATGAAGAGATTTAAAGGATATTCAATGGGAATATCTGTGGCTGGCTTTTTCTATGTTAGAAAAGATTTCCTAAATAGAGTAAGTTATTGATATTTTGTTACAAAAGCACTTCGATAGAAATAATTAAAAATGTAATATTTTTGTCTCTTCATAGATGGTGAGTGCATTATATTCCAGTTTCTCTTCAGCTATACAAGTTACCGGTGTGATGCATAAACAAAAATACTGTATTGCTTTGTTAGGTGGTAATAATGTTACAACTAACAACGTGAGTTCTATATTCTTCAATGATACAACTTATTTATGACATTATTGCCATTCAGTAATTACAGGCATTTGTTGCAAAATATGAATTACTGCAAAATGTCTGTAGTGTGTTTGATGTAACGCCTCTAGTTATTGACAATAAGTTTTTCGACCAATGAATTCCAATCTGTTGGAAAAGAGTTTTCTCTAACAGAAATTGTAAATAAATAGATTGAAAGCAATTTAACCGCATTCAACACACAATTTAACATCGAGTTGCGTAACTTTCTCGGCTGTTATAAGATTTTATAAAAAAAAATATCTTGCATATTATTAATTAATTATCATCAACAAATTGCGTGTCGCATCATCTGTTACGAGAGTTTCTTACAGAAACTGTTTAAGTTTAATTTATTATAAAATGGCAATAGGTTAATTTTGGAGATGAGGATGTGTGTTATAAAAGTGGTAAATGCTAATAACCACTAAAAGTCTCATTCCGTATTCAGATATGGCACTTGACTTTTCTAAATTTCTTCACACTTTTGACCTGCAAAGACCAAAATTTAATAGTTTTATGTTCCTTATGCACAAATTACAATGCCGAATTTGGCATCGTTAAGTCATTTTGAGATATTAAAAGAAATAGATGCCAATGCTTACACAAACATATACATATCCACGAAAATTTTTCTTGTTTTGTTGACTTACATTACAAAGGTTTCAAACAAGGGAATTTGCCAAGCACTCGCAGGTGCAAATGTGACACAATTGCAATGTATAATATTCAACCTGATCTTGTTTTCTACAATCTTTACTCTTTTCAAGATCAATTAATTTGTATGCAACGAGGTAGGATGCTTTACTGAAAGACCTTTTATGGGAAAGTAGTCCCCATTTCGATTACTCATTCGTGAAAAAATACGGAAATCTCAACGTTGCCGTGTTGTTCTGAGGCACAAACCTACGATCAGTGTTCAATGGTTTTATTTACTCGGCTAATAGGGGATGAAAAATTCGGAATTTCAGATAACGGTTCCTCTGTGATCGCGACAGGTAGATTTTTATGATGTCTCGATAAGATGAAAGTTTTTTTTTCACTCTTCACAAAATGTATAACCACTGATATCAGCTGAAAAGATTTGCAGTAGAAAATTTTTATTTAATAAAATACAACTGCTGTTCAAAATTTTCAAGAGAAATGAAAAATACCATTTGAAATACATTATCTTCAAGTTATAAAAACAACCGATAAACATTTCTTTGTGCATAAACATTTAAGGATCATTCAGCAGAATGAGATATTACACATGGTCAATAAAATGACATATGATAGTGTGGTATGACAGTATGGAATAGTACTTTTCATGTAAAAACCTTCACAATCATCACCCAGGCTACATTAATTCAATTCGTACTCGACGGCCAGTTACTTTAGGCATAAGGTGCCTGCCTACAGCTCTGGGTTTCCAGGATCACATCCAGTTTGTAAAACACAAGGAAGTTTACTTTTCCAAGATTCACGTAACATACAAAATTGTAAAATTTTGACTGAAATCTACTTGCGGTTCAGTAATATACATTTGTCGGATTACCGCAGTTTAAGTTGCACTCTATTGGAGCATACAAACGCGAAGTTTAATCAGACACTACCGAAGAGTGCCACCATCAAGTGAACTCCAAACATCGTGTTTTCATTTGTTATTATTGTCGCCGTAATTTTCGATTCTTGCACAATAGAGAAAATAAATGTTGTATGGGAAAATGCAACACGTTTCTGACTATATGCAATGCGATGGCATACGCGTATACATTGCTGAAATCTGCACCAGTATCTGTACCACTTCTGAAATACGGTAGAAACAATTTTTAATATTTTCGTAAACTGCTTTGTAGTAGAAAGCAGTTTACGAAAATATTAAAAATTGTTTCTAACCATTTCTGTAAGGTCAAAACCAAAGTGGCTTATTTGCCGTGATATCGACGGCATTCTAATCTGAAAAACATTTTAGTACCATGAAATTGTTCATAGCTCACGCTTATGATATGTTTATTTTTGTTGCTTGCAGTGTCACAATTTTTATAGTTGCGAGTGTTGGACTAATATTCTAGCGCGGAAATTACTTTATGCACAAATTTGTTTTTAAATTGCTACAGATTTCTCTATACAGTGTTATGTAAGGATACTTTAAGTATGATCATTGTGCAGTCATCTAAATGTTTAATTTGAATGTATCTGAAAATATATAGAAAGAAAATTTATCTGAAGTATAGACAGAAAATTCAAAATATATTTTAGAAGAAATGAAAAGAAATTATTCACGTAAACTGTAATTCATAAGCAGAAAAATAAAATAAACTCTAATGAAATTCTTGAAACATTGAAAAAATATGTGAGTTTTACACAAGAAAAAACAGTTAGTCATTTGATTTGCACATTTTACTTTAATTCTATAAACGAAAAAGTAAATTACACGACAATTAATCTTTAAGAGATTTTACCTATTATACAGATACCATTTTTGAATTTACTGAATTTACTGAATTTACATTTTTGAATTTATTATACCATTTTTGAATTTACTGGTTCAAAAATATATATATACTTAAAAATTTTTACAGAAAAGCTCAAAAATGAAAGAGACTGTGGATAATATATAGCCACATAAAATAAGAAATTTTGGACCATAAATATTTCCGTAGGTTAAAGGAGGATTTTGTAATTTCATTCGATTCTTTTCTATGAAAATCGATGATGCCAGCTTCAAACAGTCTCGATACACTGAAAATATTTTTTATATCATATCACACACAATATGTAATATTGTAAATTTTTACATTTATATAAACTAGTTTACATTTTTGACACCACGTCATTATATGGAAATTCTTTAGATCAGCGGTCTGAGATCTTTGTGACCTCACGGATTACTGAACTCACAATTTTGAATTCTGCAGACCACTATTATGAATTTCTTTAACTTATACGATATAAAATTTGTAGAATAATGATAATAAAAGTTTAATTTTACTATATTAATATGAACCTCTCGTGTATAATTATAACAATTTAATGCGAGCCTAAAGTTTATTGCTGCTTGTTTGAAATAAGTTTATGGATTCTTAGCTTTTTCCACGAAGGACGACAATCGCACGCACAATATCGTGTATTGTTCATTATTTATTGATAACAGTCACTTCGTATTTGGTTTCAGATACGAAAAAAACTTCAATGAGTAAAAAAAACCAACTAAGAATTTTGTATTTAAATCGTAATACCTAGCGTAACCTTTAGTTGATTAATAAATGTCCATATTTCACCACGGATCATCAATGATCCACGGATCACCGGTTGCCGACCGCTGCTTTACATGATACATATGCTGTTTTAAATGTTGCAAAAGCATCTTTTGATGGTAGAAAATTTTCAGGTCCATGCTTTTTCATTAATATTTTAAAATGTCATCGTAACCAATCAATGCAAAATGACCTTCTAAAACACACAGTAATCCTTCTTCGTCATTGAAATAGTTACTTCGTTGTTTAATGTGATTAGCCAGAACATTCACATTATCTAATTGTAAGCTCTGAAAATTATAAATCAAAATAATTTCATTTCAATTTATTGCATATGAAATTATATGTTGTAAATTAAAGAAAAATTAAAATGATAGAGTGTAAAATTTTGTTTTCAATAAAGAAGTGTTCGTTTTCCTCCGAAGATCTGGCCGAAGCATTTTTGCTGAACAACACGAAATCAATTTCAAAAAGCAGGGGAAAATGGCTTCTGGGTGGTCATTAATTAAAGAAAAGCGGCCCCTATTTAGGAGTTAGAGACTTCAGAAAACATGGAAAACTTTACATAGTTATTCTGGCTAGGCGCGAACACACGACCAAACTAGTAGTGGTCAAGAAATGAAATCGCATGGCCACGAAAAGTATTTGTAACAAAAGAAAATTTAAAGGTGTTACATTAATTATAAGCTTATCTTTCATCGCTTTGAATAAAGAAATATTAAAAAGTTTTCCCTATTCAGGTGTTAGATATATGAACCAATTCGATCGACAACAATAAAATTTAAAATGATGCCATGAAAAACAACAGGAGTCTGAAGTTGAAGTGAAATCTGTCATAGAAAGAATACACTAATGAAAATTTTCAACTGTCCTCCGTCTGTCCAAGATTAACAAAATACCTCCTTAATCTCGAGAATGGGGTTAGGTAGATGAAAGCGAGACAAGATATGATATAACAAGAGTAGAAGGCCCCGATTAACTATATACAAATACTAGCTTTTGCCCGCGGCTTCGCTCGCGTTAAGAAGTATTATTATTAATTTCTGAACGCACCTCCATCGTTCTACCTTGTGTTCCGTACATAAGAGAGAGCACGAAAGAAACATGCACCGTCACCAACAATAGGGACGACAGTACATTCTTCATCTTCTCCATTAACGTTCAGATTTTCTTTAGCCATTTTAAAAAAGTCTAACCGACAAAACCTATACTTAAACCAAACGAAAACAAAACAAATGGCAAATACAAAGCAGAGTCTATAACCAAAACTACTAAACCGAAACAAAGCAAATGCAACCCAAAATATGCCAAGAAAAGAACAGCCAAAATCGGCAAATATAATCCGATGATGAATATAATCCGTTGAGTGAAAACATAACGATAGCGCGTTTTAAAATACTACTATCGCCATCTATTGTCAACATTTAGAACTAAAAATTATTTTATTCGTTTTAATTTATTCGTTCCATTATTCGTTCCAAACTAATACATTTACAGCCTCCATCATCCCTTATTTTATCCCGATGGGAATTGAAAATTGGGTGAACTTACTCGTGAGCAAGCAACATAAAACTGTCCATGAGAGAACATTCTTCAACTTCTCCATTAACGTTCAGATTTTCTTTAGCCATTTTAAAAAAGTCTAACCGACAAAACCTATACTTAAACCAAACGAAAACAAAACAAATGCCAAATACAAAGCAGAGTCTATAACCAAAACTACTAAACCGAAACAAAGCAAATGCAATCCAAAATATGCCAAGAAAAGAACAGCCAAAATCGTCAAATATAATCCGCTAGAAATATTTAGGTATAGTATGTACTATTAGATACGGCGGCCACTCATCATCGGGTATATGTAACTCAGTGAAAACACAACGATAGCGCGTTTTAAAATACTACTAACGCCATCTATTGTCAACATTTAGAACTAAAAATTATTTTGTTCGTCTTAATTTATTCGTTCCATTAGGTACTGATAGGTTCAAACTAATACATTTACATCCTCCATCATCCCTTATTTTATCCCCATGGGGGTTGAATTTATCAAAATCCTATTTAAGCGGACGTCTTCATCATAGTAGCTCCAATCTTTAATTTCAGTTCAATCAGTCGAAAATCTAAGAAGATTTATACAAACTTTCATCCCCTATTTATCCCCTTGGGGTAGAATTGATCAAAATCCTTTCTTAGCGGATGCCTACGTCATAACATCTACCTGCATGCCAAATTTCAGCCCGATCCGTCCAGTGGTTTGGGCTGTGCGTTGATAGATCACTATGTCAGTCAGTCAGTCACCTTTGAGTTATATATATTTAGATACGTTATATAAATTCAAAAATTCCCCTTAAAAAGTTATATAGATGACAGCATGCCTCTGGCTAATACGAAACGTATGATGTACAGGGGCCAGACACTACTACTTTGAAGTGGCGAGTATATATTTAAAATCAAAGAATTATTTAAAATATGAAATATCATTAAAAATTGCAACCCGGAATTGCGACGATATAACAATATAATAATTGTTCGTTTATGAATTGAATTTAAAATATGAACTTACGTAAATTTTAATCTTTCTTGCAAAATTTTCAACAGTTCAAAATGCAGGCCAGAAATAATATGTTTTTGACTATAATAAAATTTTATAAATTATTCAATCTAAAATATTTAAACTTTTCTATTCATTTTATTTAAAAAATTTTACTTCATAAATTAGATATTATCGGAATTCCTGCAATTTTCCAGTGTAATTTGTTTGTTTTATTTACCGCTAAATAAAAGAATGATAATAAAATACACAGAGGAGCGTATTAAAATAAAATTATTTAAATTTATAATTTGCAAATAAGTTTTAGTTTCTGATATTTTTTAAAAGTAAACTTGGATTGGATTGCATTAAATCAATTAAACAAGGCAATATAACTTATTGGCAATCTTCCATGGGGGAGATACCTACTGAAAGGGAGGCATCTCCACATTGATAAAACACTATGGGAAACTAAGAGCTAGACATATGACATAACCCGTAATAAATCTACAAAAATAACCCGTTGATCACGCGAATTATTGAAACTAACTCAATAACATAAACCCACATCCGACAGTCCATATGGAGTTTTCCAGGTACTTTCACGTATCCTACACCTATATATATGGCCAGTTTCTGATACGAAATCTTATTAGGAGACAGTTCGCTTATGTGTTGCATTGCTTTATAACCTTTTCGTTTAATTACGCAGAAAATGTTTTAAGATATATAAAAATGCAACAATTTATTTTAAATCATCAAGTCAAAAGTATCCGTGATCCTGATTTTTGCACTAATTGAATTATTTATGTAATTAATTCATACGCTGTTTAAAAGTTCTTTATACCATGTTTATCCAATTTCTCCTATTTTACTCGTTAAATTAAAATAAAAATACTTACTCTGATGTGCAAGCGAGTTCCTAAGCATTTTCATTAAGCGAATTCATTTTTAAGAACTTTATTCATATGGGCATTAAGTGCATATATAAATTTGCTAATTATCATTTGCTGCATGGAATGTAATAAAACCTGAATATATTAGAAACAATTCAAATATATGCATTGTAGTATAGAAGCTTTATTTACAAACATTTGGCAACAAATAAACTGCGCAATTTTTATAAAGGTATATCGAAAAGTTAAGCGGAACCAACATGTGTTCGCGACGACTGTCAATTATATTCATTACTAATAATCAATCTAATTGATTTTATAATTTTAATTTTGTTGCGTGAACTGATTTTCTAATCAGATTCCGCAGACAAAATTAAATTTTTATAAAACTTAATTAGAAAGTTAATTAAGTTAAGGTAAATTTAAAAAAAATTAAATTGGTTTATAGGATAAGATAACGCAACATTTCGGCAATCTGCCAATACAGGATGCCTCCAGGAGAACTGTCAACGGGAAATTTGCTCTTTTGTTTTTTACACTGTAACACCTATTCACTTGTTGGAGCAAAACTCCATCTGGTCAATTCCTTGTTGAAGTGCGATCCCTCGACTAACCATCAGTGTTCACTAGATTTACCCAGTCTACTACTGGTGAGCTTCACAAGTGGAACATATCTAACACATACTGAGGCAACCATACATGTTTGGAAATTCTAAACTTTTTAAAACTGTAGTTAGTCGACTCGGGATCAGAGGTTTATAGATAGCAAAGATGAGATTGACAGCATTTCTCCCTTTAATGAGAAATATGCAAATAATATTTCAATAGAACACTTCTGTAGGGCAGAGGGCGCCACCGCTTGACCTTTCCCCTCTGACCTCACGTCGTCCTCGGACGCCGACTAGAAAAAACGCTTTCGATACGTCGACTTTTCGCTTTTGTTACGCCAATCTTCCGGAATCAACTCACCAACGAACGCACATTTGTATAGTGATTGCACTTAGGGACCTCTGTAAATATTCATAGTCGCGGGAATAAAATAAGGTATTTCGTCGGAATCAGTGTCCTCCTTGATCGCGACCGACGAACAAAGGACGTAGGACACGTGGTCGAGACCGAAGCTATTGTCATACGAGGTAGGACCGACTCCGGACCAATTCTATCGAAACGCTTCAACGGGTTTTAGCACCATCGCTAAACTGGTGAGCCGGACGTGAGTAAAATAAAGGGTACTCAAAGACAAAAATAGGCGAGAGAACCACTAAGCGTAACCCCGAACAAAGGACTGATATGTGCCTAGCACGTGTCACCGTCAAGGTGCCGCCATTTTGGAAGCCAGACCCTCGCATTTGGTTCCTTCAGATCGAGGCCCAATTTTGAAACGCCGGAATATCGTCGGATCAAACAAAATTCGATACTGTCATCAGTTACATCGACGCGGAAATCCTCACGCAAGTTTCGGACATTTTACTCAGTCGCCTGCGTTGGGGAAATATGAACTTATCAAAGAACGGTTGATCTCTGCCTTCGCAGACAGCGAGACCCAGCGCACCAAAAAATTACTGACGGAAATGGAACTCGGCGACCGCAAACCCTCCCAACTACTCTGCGAAATGCGTAATCTGGCTGACGAAAAAATCGACACCATAACAAAAAAGAAAAAAACACCTAGAAACACTGAGGAAATGTAACTGTCTCACAGTACTCAGTCAATAAAAGAATAAAAACACTATTGTAACAATGCCGAAGGGTTCCATCTATGCTTCGGGACCACAGGACCGAAGGGTCGACATTGCATCAGCGAAGACTGCAATGACAAATTTATCAGGACTGACACCACTGTGTCTTCTGGATAGACACAGAGACCGTTACGTTCGAATTTACGCGCAAGCAGTCACGTCTGTGGACTTTTAGTTCCGGGATGGAGGCGTAAAGAGAGAATCAGAGGAATTACTCTCTACATAATGCCCGTTTATGGTTCTCTTTAAGCTATATACAGTAGACCCCCTTATAACGCTTAGATACGTTCCACGCTAATCGAATTTTACGTTGTAGGAACGATTAAATACATGAGCCAATCGCAGCCCGATAGGTGGGAACTTTACGGACTAAAGCTGTTCGAAAGGTTTTCTTCTATAAAATTAACTGATTCTAGACTAATTCGACTCAACATTTCAAAAATACGTATAATTTTTTGGGAATAATCCGTATAAACTATGCTATAAACAAAAAATTATATGATTACTTACCGAGTGTGTACCGTTCGGCTACGCCGTTGCATAAAGCTGGTTATCNTTATTAACAACGAACTTTGTATACGCTTTCAGATGATTTGCTTCATGAAGAGATTTAAAGGATATTCAATGGGAATATCTGTGGCTGGCTTTTTCTATGTTAGAAAAGATTTCCTAAATAGAGTAAGTTATTGATATTTTGTTACAAAAGCACTTCGATAGAAATAATTAAAAATGTAATATTTTTGTCTCTTCATAGATGGTGAGTGCATTATATTCCAGTTTCTCTTCAGCTATACAAGTTACCGGTGTGATGCATAAACAAAAATACTGTATTGCTTTGTTAGGTGGTAATAATGTTACAACTAACAACGTGAGTTCTATATTCTTCAATGATACAACTTATTTATGACATTATTGCCATTCAGTAATTACAGGCATTTGTTGCAAAATATGAATTACTGCAAAATGTCTGTAGTGTGTTTGATGTAACGCCTCTAGTTATTGACAATAAGTTTTTCGACCAATGAATTCCAATCTGTTGGAAAAGAGTTTTCTCTAACAGAAATTGTAAATAAATAGATTGAAAGCAATTTAACCGCATTCAACACACAATTTAACATCGAGTTGCGTAACTTTCTCGGCTGTTATAAGATTTTATAAAAAAAAATATCTTGCATATTATTAATTAATTATCATCAACAAATTGCGTGTCGCATCATCTGTTACGAGAGTTTCTTACAGAAACTGTTTAAGTTTAATTTATTATAAAATGGCAATAGGTTAATTTTGGAGATGAGGATGTGTGTTATAAAAGTGGTAAATGCTAATAACCACTAAAAGTCTCATTCCGTATTCAGATATGGCACTTGACTTTTCTAAATTTCTTCACACTTTTGACCTGCAAAGACCAAAATTTAATAGTTTTATGTTCCTTATGCACAAATTACAATGCCGAATTTGGCATCGTTAAGTCATTTTGAGATATTAAAAGAAATAGATGCCAATGCTTACACAAACATATACATATCCACGAAAATTTTTCTTGTTTTGTTGACTTACATTACAAAGGTTTCAAACAAGGGAATTTGCCAAGCACTCGCAGGTGCAAATGTGACACAATTGCAATGTATAATATTCAACCTGATCTTGTTTTCTACAATCTTTACTCTTTTCAAGATCAATTAATTTGTATGCAACGAGGTAGGATGCTTTACTGAAAGACCTTTTATGGGAAAGTAGTCCCCATTTCGATTACTCATTCGTGAAAAAATACGGAAATCTCAACGTTGCCGTGTTGTTCTGAGGCACAAACCTACGATCAGTGTTCAATGGTTTTATTTACTCGGCTAATAGGGGATGAAAAATTCGGAATTTCAGATAACGGTTCCTCTGTGATCGCGACAGGTAGATTTTTATGATGTCTCGATAAGATGAAAGTTTTTTTTTCACTCTTCACAAAATGTATAACCACTGATATCAGCTGAAAAGATTTGCAGTAGAAAATTTTTATTTAATAAAATACAACTGCTGTTCAAAATTTTCAAGAGAAATGAAAAATACCATTTGAAATACATTATCTTCAAGTTATAAAAACAACCGATAAACATTTCTTTGTGCATAAACATTTAAGGATCATTCAGCAGAATGAGATATTACACATGGTCAATAAAATGACATATGATAGTGTGGTATGACAGTATGGAATAGTACTTTTCATGTAAAAACCTTCACAATCATCACCCAGGCTACATTAATTCAATTCGTACTCGACGGCCAGTTACTTTAGGCATAAGGTGCCTGCCTACCGCTCTGGGTTTCCAGGATCACATCCAGTTTGTAAAACACAAGGAAGTTTACTTTTCCAAGATTCACGTAACATACAAAATTGTAAAATTTTGACTGAAATCTACTTGCGGTTCAGTAATATACATTTGTCGGATTACCGCAGTTTAAGTTGCACTCTATTGGAGCATACAAACGCGAAGTTTAATCAGACACTACCGAAGAGTGCCACCATCAAGTGAACTCCAAACATCGTGTTTTCATTTGTTATTATTGTCGCCGTAATTTTCGATTCTTGCACAATAGAGAAAATAAATGTTGTATGGGAAAATGCAACACGTTTCTGACTATATGCAATGCGATGGCATACGCGTATACATTGCTGAAATCTGCACCAGTATCTGTACCACTTCTGAAATACGGTAGAAACAATTTTTAATATTTTCGTAAACTGCTTTGTAGTAGAAAGCAGTTTACGAAAATATTAAAAATTGTTTCTAACCATTTCTGTAAGGTCAAAACCAAAGTGGCTTATTTGCCGTGATATCGACGGCATTCTAATCTGAAAGGCATTTTAGTACCATGAAATTGTTCATAGCTGACGCTTATGATATGTTTATTTTTGTTGCTTGCAGTGTCACAATTTTTATAGTTGCGAGTGTTGGACTAATATTCTAGCGCGGAAATTACTTTATGCACAAATTTGTTTTTAAATTGCTACAGATTTCTCTATACAGTGTTATGTAAGGATACTTTAAGTATGATCATTGTGCAGTCATCTAAATGTTTAATTTGAATGTATCTGAAAATATATAGAAAGAAAATTTATCTGAAGTATAGACAGAAAATTCAAAATATATTTTAGAAGAAATGAAAAGAAATTATTCACGTAAACTGTAATTCATAAGCAGAAAAATAAAATAAACTCTAATGAAATTCTTGAAACATTGAAAAAATATGTGAGTTTTACACAAGAAAAAACAGTTAGTCATTTGATTTGCACATTTTACTTTAATTCTATAAACGAAAAAGTAAATTACACGACAATTAATCTTTAAGAGATTTTACCTATTATACAGATACCATTTTTGAATTTACTGAATTTACTGAATTTACATTTTTGAATTTATTAT